AGCTGGGAAACTAACAAGGGCTCTGTAAAGTAGCTATCACTGCTTGCGATAAGCGCATACAATACTCGGCAGAGAATGGTTGTTTGAGTGAGTGTTAAATAGTGAGTGAGTAATATGAAACAGCTGTGTGCAATCAGTGCTGTGTGCAATCAGTGCAATGAATGATGGGATATGTAGTCCGGGATGATAAGCAACAGTTTGTGTAGTGCGAGAGTCAATGTAATGGAAAGGATGACCTCTGATGGTAAGCAGACGGAAGTTCATTGACCGGATTCATGACACTAGTGCTGTCCATCGCACTAATCGTTAACTAATACGATTAACATGGTTAATCACGATTAATCGCATCCGAAATAAAAGTTTTTGTTATGTGTGTGTACTGTGTACTGTTGTTATGTGAATATATAAATTCACACACATACAGTATATATTTTGAAAATATTTATATGTACAGGTGCATCTCAATAAATTAGAATGTCGTGGAAAAGTTCATTTATTTCAGTAATTCAACTCAAATCAAGCATGCAGTTTGGAAGCGGGGTGATGCGGTATGCATTACGACATGCAGGGACACGCATATTGTGTGTGTGTGCATGTTTCAGATGAAGCATGGTTTATCAGATGGTAGATAAAGCATGTTTCAGATGAAGATAAACCAGTGCCCCGACATCTGTCTCCACTCAAAGCAGGATATGTCTTCTTGACACCTCATTGCAAAAAGGAAACTACTTCTATCCCAGAATGCACTGCTCATTACAACTCTCGCAGTCTGTAATTACAGCACGCCTAAGGCCATCGATATTCCATCCAATCCAAATTCACACATCTACTCAGAGTCCCTGCATCTTTCAGTTAAGCCCAGGGTTTCGATTGTCACCAACCACTGCTTTGCATCAAATAAATTTTTTTTCCCCCCCTTGTATGTTGTAACGTGGTCCTCTGAGCTCAACCACAGATCATTTTCTCAATGTTCTACCACCGCAATCTCAGGAGTAAAAAAAATTTCCGCTTTATCTTTTCCTATATCTATTTCGTTCCTAATTTATACAGGCAGCACTCCATGCATCCCTCCATTCCCAGTTTGCTCTTGACATTTGTGGAAACACTTATGAAAATAATAGCCATGGTCCCCCAACAGAGTGTCGCTCACAAAAACACATTAAAGTGAATGAAAGAGATGTCCTGTTCTTACCCTGTGCCCAATCCATTACTGGCAGTCACTGTCATTAGCCATTCATTCCCACTCACCACTCAGAAATAATCAGTACAGGAGGCACACCAGGGAGTTCATCATCTCTCCATCAGTGTAAAAATAGCCAGAGCTGTCGGGAGCAGGTCTGCTTTTTCCCTTCACTATCGATAATTCAGACTCCTAATTACTGTGTGATACATAATTGAGCACTTGATGAAAACATGTGGATGTTCATTTAAACTGTTTCACCTTTAACCTGCTGCCTTTCATGACGACAGCCTCGGAGAGATTCCGAATACTAATGAGACTGGGAATAATTGAGAATCGAGGATTTTATGTGAGATTTTCCAGAGATAAAAATACCAGTCTTCTCACAAATTAAACTAAAAGTATGAATATCACTGACTAAATTAATATGTCTTTAGAGTCGTTACTGCATAATATTATGAGATTTCCAAAGAAAAAATTAATCTATATCTTTTAAAATAACTAAAATACCAATAATTTATACATTTTTTAAACAATTTTGCAGATGCTTTTATCCAAAAGACTTGTGTTGCATTCTAATTATATATTTGATCAGATCATGCAGTAATTTTTTTGCAAGCTATATATATATGTATATGTGTGGTTCTGGAATGATGTATCACCTTTCCTTGACTGGAGCTATCTATTTTAAATTACGCAATAGTCAGATGGTAATTACAGAATGCATTATGAATTTTAATTGTTAATTATAGGTAAGAGTTTTCGTATAGAATGAAAACTAAATGCTGACAGTCTTTTGGGGACCAATATTCTCAGGGATCAGTGGGCAATGGAAGGAAAAATTTCTAGGATAAACAGTAATACATTGGGCAGAGGCTGTGAGGAAACACCAGCAGTGTCTGGATCAGAGAGTATTGAAGTGAGGTGTCTATTAAAAAGGCAGAAAGATCCTGAGCTCCAGATTTGACTGTTTAATCGAGCCTGCGAGGATTAGGGTTGGATTATTCAAGCATTGCAAAGAATCAGCAAATTAGCTAGTGGGTTTAATCCGAGAATAGGACACACACAGAATAAGCACAGATACTGTTTGAGTGTGTGTGGAGGGTAAACCCAATATAATATTAAAGTTGTAATGGCTCATTTGACTTGTAAAATTAACCATTAATTTGATGTGAATCTTCTGGTTTCACAGCAGTTACAAATGTCAAAAGAAATTCCTTTCATTAGTGAAGTATTATATAATTAAATTACAGATATATAGTATATTCATTCTAGAAGTATTTTCACATTTTCAGAAGACTGAATTGACATTCTTGAACCTGAGATCAGCGTAAATGCAGGGCCGAGGCTTTAGATATACCGTCTTTGCCATCAAAGCCACAGTAGCAGTGCAGTTACAAATCACCTTACTGAATATTACATCTTTGATGTAATATTCTTCAGTTGATAACTTCGAGGGGACATTGAAATCATTCTCAGAAGCTTTATAAAGACATGAAAGATTTGAAATGCACAGTTGCAAAGGATTACTGCGGAGCGGAGCCTGAGGATTGTGTGCGCAGAAGTAGTTTGCTTCTCACACATTTCCGCGTAACTGAAAATTTATCCCATCTTTGGAAATGCTATGCATGGGATTCGGGGATATGTGAATAAATGCCTTCAGATTGTTCAACATTCAGCTGTCGAAAATAAACTCAGAGGTTCATTTTCACACGTTTCTTTTGAAACGTCAATGTTTTGGTCATGAATGATAGTGGCGGCTCTATGAGCGAGGCAGCTGTCAAACCTGCACGCAGGTGATAAGTTGGTTGCCAGTGAAGGAAGCCTGTCCCTTCAGTGATTTTTTTTTATTTCTGATGGGAG